CCCCCCGGGGGGGCGCGGGGCCGGCGCCGGGGGGGGGGGGGGGGGGGGGCACAAATGCCCCACGGTCCTGTCCCCTGCCCTTTGGACCGCGGCTGCTTCGCCAGCAGCGCGCGACAGCCTCGACGCCCACCTGCCCCGGCGCGGGCCCTTTCCTGAGGTGGGAGCGAGGCCGCTCGGCTCCTCTGTGTGCCTGGCCCTGCCCGCCCAGGCCGCCTCGGCCCCCTTTTGACGAGAGCGTATTGCCGTGTGTAGAAGAGCGTCAGTGCAAGCGGACGGAATGGTTTGTGGGGCAACAAGGGCGGTTTCTTGCTGCACGGAGAGGAGCATGGGCCCCCCAGACGAGGGATGGGTGGTCTCGGGGACAGGCCATCCTCCGCGCCCACGGCGTGGGGCGGGTCCCTCCATCACACACCCTCCGTGACCAAAGCCCGGTGCAGGAGCAGGCGCCGGGGGCGGCGCCGCGCGCGCGCAAAGCCCTCGCTCTCGCGCTGCTCGTCCGAGAAGCCGCACTGGGCGCGGTACAGGCGCACCGCCGCCGCGTTGCTGGCGGCCACGTGCACGTAGGCGTGGCGCGTGCCGCGCGCGGCCGCCTCCAGCAGCGCGTGCGCGACCAGGGCGCGGGCCACGCCGCGCCGCCGCGCCGCGGCCGCCACGCACACGTTGCTGAGGTAGGCGCGGCCGCGCGCGGCGGCGGCGCGCCCCGCCGCGTCGCCGCAGCCGGGGTCGTGCGGCAGCTGCCCCACCAGGTCCTCGGAGGGCAGGCTCAGGCCCTGGTTCACGTCCAGGCTGCCCACCACCAGCTCCTCCTCGCCGTGGGCCTGGGTGGGGGCGGTGGGTGACCAGGGTTGATGGGGTCGCAGGGCGTGGGGGGGCCCTGTGGACGACCACCACCACCTAGAACCAAGGACCTCTCGCGACACCCTTCGGCAAGCAGACTCGCAGCAGAGGAATCAAAGGCCCACTGCGCACCAGGCCCGGGAGCTGGACGGAGCGGTCGATGAGGTCGTCGAAGAGCTCCTGGATCAGCTGGGCGCTGGGCGAGTCGGGTGGCTGGCGCGCCACGGTGGCGATGAAGGGCAGCACCACCACGCCGCGGTAGTCCTCGTCCTTGCCAGCCACGCGTGTCTCCAGGGACTCCCATGTCGCCGTGGTCTTGTTGCGCAGGTGGGCCTGTGTGTTGTTGTGGTGGGTGGGGTGGGGTGGCCTGAGTGGAGGGAAATGGTGGAAGGAAAGGTGCCACCAAACCCTTTCATGGCCTGACACCAGCTGTGGAACCCAGGTGTGCAGCACACCACACAGCCGCCACGATGTCACGAGTTTCCATCCCTGCACACAACCATCAGGTTCTGCCCCGCACCCGCTGCGCATAGTTGGTACAGTTGTACTGGTAGAAGCAGGCTGCTCGGAGGTAGGCAGCAGCCCGGAATTCGGCCCCAGGCACCGCAGCGCGGATACGGATGGGAAGCTCGAGACGCATGTCAGTCCATGATTGCTCTTACCATGGTCGGGTGTCGTCAGAGGGCCCTGCAGCCGGGAGGGGCAAGGATATCCGGAATGGGAACAAGGTCCCTGGCCCGTCTCCTCACCCGAGTGTGAGAAAGTCAATGTGTAACACAGTAAGTTCACTCCTTTTGTTGCATCATTATATTGTGCTGCACGACTTTTGTCATATCCATCGCCGGGAGGGCGTGGGGGCTGTTGGTGTATGATCGGGGGCACATGTAAAGATGTCGCGTTCCGGCGGAGCGGAAGGGATGTCATATCATTCACACCCGATGCAGGCACTCACTGCTACCCACAATCTGGAAATGGTTTAGATGGCGGTACACGCTCGTTTTTTGCACCCACGAGCAGTCTTTTCCGGCCATGGAATTCCACTCGGGCGGTGGCTTCCAACCCATTCACGACCTATCATATTCTCTGCGAGGCCCTCCGTCCTCCATGCAAGGAGGGAAAGAGTCACTACGCAAGCCAACGGGCAGGTATGTGAGACCTGTGTGAGGGTTCCGTGATGCACACCCGATAATGCGGGCACCATCACCATCTGTTGGCTGCAAGTTCTCCAGACACAGGCCAGCCCTGCAGCTCGATACCTGCCGATAGCAGCTGGCAGCCTGGGCCTCATGAGCATTGTCGTGGATAGGCTACTGAACACCGTGCGCTAGTGGAGGGGCCAGTGGAGGGCTTCCGTGCATGCTCTTGTATGTGTGCATGAAATGCAGTGATTTTGCACGCAGCCGCCGGCACGCTCCCTGCACACTCCCCTCCAACCTCCACAGGACAGTCCCAGCTTGAGTGCGGCTTCCGCCCAGTCGCGCACCGGAGTCCTGCTCCTCGTCCTCTCCATCACGCTCCTGGTGGTGGGGGTGCAGTGGCTGGTCATCAGTCCCCGGGAGCCCGAGGCCGTGGACTTGGTCGGTCGCAGTGATTTCGCACACTGGGACACCAGTATTCCCACGCCTGTCCTTGATGAGCTGCAATGGTGGGTGCCCTGGCAGCCTCTGCAATCGTTTTTTACATGGGCAGTCCCTGGGCAAGATGGCTGGGAATGATGACACATGCCCAGGGAATGAGCTCATTCATTCGGTTTGAATGCCAAGCATCCACACGCAGCGATGCCAGCCACCAGCAAGAGTGCCGCTCCTTCTCTGCACTGTGCAGGGCCTGCGCTGCATTCTTGGCAACAGACCGGGTCAAGACCGTGGCACTCTGGCGCGGAGGGTGGCTGGCCATACAGGGCGTGGTGGCGCAGGAGCTTGATGTCTCTGTGGCGCCAGGACCGCTGCTCTTGGATGCTATGGCACGTGAGACGGCCAACAGCATCTCCAACCTTCCCCTCTTCCCAGGTAGGATGCTCCAAGCCTTGCTGGATTGACAATGCACTGGTGCCTGCCACAAGCAAATGCGACCCTGTCACAGAAAGGGGTGGCCATCCTCCTCTTTCTTTGCATCAATGTGGTTCGGTTTGGGACCTCCACCGCACAGCAGCATGCTCTCGCGACATGCGCCTGGCGGTGCGTGGCATTGCAGGAGCATTGGCTCTGGGGCAAACACGACGCCGGCCACACCCTGCCGGCTCAGGCGCTCTTTTCATCCCGCTCTCAGGTCGAATCGAGTTTGCAAGGCTCCTCCCTCCGAATGTCCAGAGCTTGCTCATCCAGCCGATGGGGAGGGAGGGGGTCATGCTCCTGGCCAGCAATCGCCAGCGCGGCTTCTCGAGCCTGGACAAGGTGAGGGCCTGGGGATGGTTTGGCATGCTCACTTTTGGGCTGTGGGGCACCCTGGTGAAGGACCTTGCGGATGGGCGGCGGCGTGAATGTTGGATGACAGACAGCTGCAGATGCGTCGGCCTGTTGAGCATGCCACCTCCATGCGCCCTCCCTTCACAGGCGTGGGCTGTGCGAGTGGCAGAGAAACTGGGTGCGACCTTTGACAGGTCACAGGAGGGCTTGTCTGGGGCATCAAAGCCGGTTTCACTGCCAAAGGGGCCCGACAGCCAAGATGCACCAGCCTGAGAAGCCAGGCTGAGGACTTTGCAATCCTATATCTCGCTTCCTCCTCCCCCTCAGAATCTGCTCCTTTGCGCTGAACAAGGTTTAATTGCTCCAAATAGTCTTATGGGCTACGCGCAGAGCATCAGTGGAACGCAACAGGGCCAGGACAGACCCAGGCAGTGGTCCAGAGCCATGCAAATGTCTTTGGGACACAGCGCATTGCATGCAGGATCCAGCTACAGTTCCTTGCTTCAGGCCTTGTGCTCGAACGCATGCCACCAACCGGGGGCATAGGGGGTGTAGGGGGCGGTCCACTCCGAATCCTTGATCTTGAACTCTGGCACTGGGCCGTCGGAAGCACAGGCCTCGTCAGCATGCATCTGGCCCAGGTGGATCTGCAGGACACGGTCCAGCCGCAGCTTCATGAACCTGGTCTCAGAAGGGCGGAGCAAGGGGGTAGCTGGCTTTTTTGAGCATCGTCCCAGCACCCATGACGCATGAGGCAAGTGACAGATTCAGAAGGCCTGACAGTTCAGGATGCCGTCCAGGGTATGGACGCTAGCACCATGAGTCAACATGTGTTTCGACACAACACAGAAGGCCATGCTTACCCACCCAGCCAGACTCACGTGATCCAGGCCTTGTCTGTGCTGATGAGCGCGGCGGCCGGCCGCCGCACTTTCTTCGCCTCGTTTGGAAATTTGGCATCCAGCCAATGCGGCTGGGACACGATGTAAAAGTCCTGCCCCCTCCCCTTTTCGTCGTAGTAGCGCTTCAGTTCCCGCAGCTGCTCTGGGAGGGCCTCATTCTGGGCGCCACGGAAGAAGAACTCTGCGCTGGCCACCAGGGCATACCAATCGCCCTGGCACGGTTGAGGGGTGGGGTGGGGTAAGCGGGGATGGCCGGAGGCACAGTACAGTTTGATTTCCCCTTGCACTGCCAGATGTGTGCACCGAGGGCAGAGGGCCTGGAGTGCCTGCAAGGGCTCTCCTCCTTGCATAATCCTATCAAAAAAATTCATGTGCCAGCACAGCGGCCCACGGAACCAAAAAGTACCTCGACAATCTTCTCTGGGGTTGGGGCGTCAGCAGCTCGCTGCTGCACATCGGTGGACTTGGACTTCTGCGCTGCTACGGCTTGCAAAGCAATGCAGCGGCGAGGGTAGGTGGAGCTCCTCGCAAATCCCTTCACAGCAGGGGCTCGGGTCGAGTATGGGTTCTGTGCATGGCCGCTTATGCGCATGGGAGCAGCAAAGGCCACATGCGTCGCCCCAACACATGACGATGTCGCCATCATAGCTGCCATGGCATAAAACAGTGTTGAAAAACGGAGTGATCAATGTTTCGCTTTTCTAGGGGGCTGTTCCGTGATCTATCGCCGACCTCGTGTACCATGCAGGGAGTCAGCAGGCTCCAATCTGATCATTTCCTGGTTTCCAGCCATAAGATTTCAGTTTTGTCCGACACAGTTCCCAGCGGCCCCCCTCCCAGGACCAGATCGGGGCACCGCACCTGCATGCTCTTTGCATTTAAATTTGGAGCAGGCCGGTCACAGGCCGCACCCCAGATCCGGCGATGATGGCGGAAGACGGGGAGCCGGGCAATCTGCGAGATGCCAGTGCCTCGGAGTCAGAGAGCGACGCTGGCAGCTCGTCTTACGAATCCACACCCAGGAGCCTGGATGAACAGCCAGAGTGCCTGGCTCGACCCTCATTTGGTCTGCCCTCCCTCAGGCTGCAGGGTCTCCTCGACGACCGAGGTTCCAGGGGGGCAGATCTGCCCCCGCCCACGACATCCCGCCCCATCCAGTTTGATGTCATTTCCTCGGCGTTCTGCTTGCCAGCCACCGAGACTATCGCGGCGAGGAAGGCCTGCTCACAAAAGTTGGGCGTCTCCGTAGGCAGGCTCACCTTGTATGGCCTCCATGAGCTTCCAAGCTCCGGTCAGATCCCGCCGAGTTGCAGACGTGTTGCCATAGATGTCCAGGGCTCCGGTGAGCTTGTGCCTTCTGATTGGAGCTTTGCGCTCTGCTGAAAAGGGGTCTGACTCTTGCTCAGAGGCCTGCGGTCGGGGCCACACCGCCTTCTCATTCGAATGCGCTTAGGGAACTCAGCACCCCTCCCCTCTGCTCCCTGCGGACAGATTTGAGTCTGGCCGCACTAGAAGGGCTGCTAAGAGACTCACATACCGCCTCGTCAATTTCAAAGCCTCCTGACAGTGGTGGGTTGGGTCTGGCACGAAGGGGATGTGAGGGAATTTGAGAAAGACATGAGGCTGTGGGTTTTCATGTGAGCCATTCGCCCGTAATAGGAGGCTGGCATTGTGTGAAGCTACCAAATGCTTACCTATCCGCGCCTCTGATCAGCACCAGCCTCCGCTGCAGACGCCGAGCTTGCGGGGCTCAAGTCCAAGCTCTCAAAGCTGGAGAAGGAAAACCAGGATCTCAGGTCCGTAGGGAATTGAAGTAGTTGTGAACTGTGGCTCTCCTGATCATGTGCGCCACTACTGACAGGGTAACGATTCCAGGGACCCAGCAGCTTGCCACCTCACTCGCCACTACCTCTCGCACCCTCAGGTCCATGGTGAAGTTGCTGGAGTCACTGAGAAAGCGCGGCCAGTGTGCCCTGCGTGACATCAAACGCGAGTTTGATGTGTTGGTAGGCGAGCTGGGACCTGCCGCACATGAACTGAGCGCGAGCAAGCTGACTCCTGTGGCGCTGACGCATGCTCTCATGGATGCTGCTTGAAGCAAGAATGGAGCTCCTACTTGCTTTTCCCTTTCGCTCATCATATGACGCACTGTACAAAGAAGGGCCAAGCCTGCAAGCCACATTCGCTGGCACGGGTGCCCGCTCGTTTCGCTGCATGGCACTGAGACTTGCAGAAGAACATGCACCATCCCCGTCACACGAGAATTCAAGGCTGGTGCGTGTAAAAAGCTTCTCCTGTTGTTCAGAGCCACTGCTGCTTCCAGAGTGGAATCTCCAAAGTCCTGGCCCTCTTGGCAGGGAGGGGTGGGGCCACAGCTTTTACACCAAACATAGGACCAAGAGGTGTGCTCGCGCTTGGATCGCACTCTGCATCATGGTCCTTTGCAGAGCAAGTTCAACCGCAGGCGTCCACACTGCTGTGCCTGTAGAGCTCGTCGCCGTCTGGAGGACAAAGTCCCTTGCAGGAACCTTGGGCTGTGAATGGTGGTATTTGCTGCTCAGGTCTGTCAGTAGTCCCTCCCGTCGTTCGTTCGGTCTTGCCTGCTCACCTCCGCCTGCTCCATGGGGTGCAATTCACGACGTGTGAGGAAACTCAGGGCAATGTAACCTATCCAGCGTCTGGTGCATATCAAGCATGTATGGCTGCTCCTCCTCACTGTCTTCCTCCGCAGACGTCCGCCACTACCTACCACAAATTGTTCTCGGATGGATCGGACCTTCTCCACGAGCTTGTCGACTGCCTTTTGAGTGGCGGCCACCGGTGTTTCCCGACCATCCGTCTGCACCTGCGGGAGCAAGGAGGAGGCGGGTGTGATCTCAGCCCCACTACTGTTTCATGAGACAGCATGCTCTGATTTCCCAGCAAGACATTCTCACTCAAACATACCTTGATGAGCATGCGATACTCCAATGGATGGGGAATCTTATAGCCGGAGAAGATGACATGTGGGTCCTCGTGGAGGTGCCTGGTAGCATAGAGAAGGCGAGTTGGAGCTCAGAGCACGGGGAAATATTCCGGGGGGATCAAGGTGGCCAGCGCAGGCCCTTGACTTCCGCAAGACTCACGTTCGGATCATGTTACCGATGGTGTGGTCCTCTCGTTGTACAGTGAAGGTCCCCGCGTTGGCAATCTTGGTGTCTCGCTCAAAGGCAACCCTGGGGACGAGGAATACATTGGGTAGAGGCAGAGTGATCTTTCTGCAGAGCTATCCACCTTCAAGAAGCACTCCAAAACATCGCCACTTACTTCTTAACTCCATCAGGAACCACAAACTTCTCGTATCGGTCTGGCTGGTTGGACATCTGCAAAGTTGGCAGTGGTGAACTTCCTCAACTCCCGCAGGTAGCCCTGCTGGTCAGATATATGTGTATATACACTTTAAAATGCGTGAAGTCCTTGATGCACTGTGCCATACCGGCGTACACCTCCTAACAAGTCGCAAAAGTGTCGTCGCACGCGCTGGCCTTTCTTCGCCAGGTTTTAAAGTCGCGGGAGCAGGCTGGCAATCGCCCAGGCTTCATGGCACCCGCTGCGGCCCATGATCACACAACGCATGGAACGTCAAGGGGGTGGAGATGCCCTGAGATGCCCCGGCGTGCCCTGCCATGAACTTCCTGCAGAAGACGGTGCAATACCTGAGGGATGCGGGCGCCACTGGTGTGAAGCGTAAGGCCTTCGCTGAGGATACACCCTGCCGAGCCTCCAATGGTCCTTCGAGGCCCTTAGATCCCGTGCAGCGACTGGACTTTGCCAACGAGCCGACGGGACCCTTCACTGCCAGCAAAGACGTCGTGGCCTCGAAGCGTGCCCGTCTGATCCCTGCATCCCCCGGCACCCAACGGGCGCAATCTCCCGGGCCAGGATTTTCACCCTTCCCTGGACGTAATCTGTTGCGGAGCAGGTACCATCGCCCCTCTGCCCGGCAGCTGTTTGCTGCTGCCGACACACTCTCCCAGGTTGGGCACTGTGGCCAGAATGTTGCAGGAAGAAACCCTGGTGTTCAGTCGACCTTGAGGGCAGCAAGTACTTCTTAAGCGGCTCCCAGGTTGCAATTGCATGGTCAGAAGGTCGCATGCGCCTCCCACTCTCCTGCAGAAGCGTCGAGGACCCTGGTCATTGCAACACGATCTGGAGCCAGGTCGAGGCCCAGACTCAGTGTGTCCTGCTGAACCACCGCCCCGCGTCATTCCATTCTGGGAGACGGGCCGCCAGGAACGAGACCTTCTCAAACGAGGCGTCGAGCTCTACCAGAGGGTGGAGAGGATGGTGAGCCGGCGCCCCAAGGCATGCACCTCGCCCCAGCTGCATGGGACGGCGCGGATTGCCCAGTGGCGAGGCGTCATATGGTACGCAGGCTCACCTCAGCGGTACACATCGAGCCTGTCCCCCCCATTCAACCCTTGCAGACTAGGCACGTGCAGTCGCCGCAGTTCACCATCGACCTCACCGGCGAGGATGAGGCCGGCCCTTCGCCGCCGGCCGCTGGGAAGCCAGGCTACGCGCAGCGGCTCCATCGCGGCGTGGATCCATGGGGTGAGCCTGATGCCGCCGTATCGTCCTCCGGGGCCACATTGTCTGCGCCCCACGCCACGGGGCATGCCCTGCTGGCGCCCCTGCGGCAATGGCTGCCTGAGGCTGGCGATGACGAGCCCCAGCCTGCAGCAGGGCGTAAGCATCACGCGCCTAGGTCAGACGAAGCTGTTGATGAGCCTGAGCGACAACCCTCGGCCAGCAGTCGGCTGGCCAAGGAGACAGCAGAGGCCGGGCAGGCGCTGCTTGAAAAAGCTGACAGCATCCTGGAAGCCAAGGAGAAGCCTTCATGGCAAGACTTGCGCTCAGAAATGCTCAGGGTGAGCAGTGCCTCAGCATGGATTTGTCTTTTGAGGTGGATCAAGGGCCTGGGAATCACAGACGGTGTGCATCTGGCAACTTCCTGTGACGAATCTGATGGTGGATGGGCTCCTGGCATCCCTGCCTTGGCAGTGGGACGGCTTATTCCTGCTCCCGCTGACCATGATCGTCTCACCCGGGTCAGATCAAGGAGGAACTGGATCGCCTAGAACGAGAGCGCCTCAAGGTGAGCCTTGCGAGTGATGTGCATGCCGTAGCTCCCACCCGCAGACTGCTTCAGTTGCCCTTGAAATGTGCATGAGCTGCTTGTACCGCCTTCTGCAGTGTCGCGTCTTCTCAGAGCACCCTCCACGCCTCATCTGCATGTGCTGCAGCGATTGGAACCGAAACCTTCCACCAGCGTACGGTGAGTGTCCCGAGAGCCTGGTGCCCAGATCAGCTCTGGATCCGTGTGGATTGTAAACCACGGCCAAGCATCGAGGAGGCCCCAACTGCTGCCGCCCCTCCTGTGCACAGGCCGTCCATTTCCCTCCCCCCGGGCGCCAAAGCAAAGTACAAGGCCCTGGTGCAGGGCGGTGAGTGGGCTGGTTGCAGGGTGGTCGTGCAGGCATGAGTGCACTCGTGTGTCACCTCCAGACGCAAGCCTCAGGGTTGCCATGGCCATGCCGGCTTTCCGGCCCTAGGCATGGCCCACCCTGGACATTCCGTGAGCCCTGCAGGCGCCGCGTCGGACAAGCTGGTGGAGCATACTGGGAGCAACATTACGCTGACGAGGCACGACGTGGCCACCTTGGCCCCCGGCGCCTGGCTGAACGATGAGGTCATCAACCTGACAATGACGCTGCTGCAAGAGAGGGACACCTCGGCCCGCAAAGCCCAGGTCGGCCTTTTGTGGGCAGATGCAGGCTGCGGGGCACTGAGAGCACTGCATGCAACTGCTTTGAAGCTGTGGGGCAAGTGCTGCGCCTGGCGGGGTTGGAATACTTGCCGCTCCTCCAGGTCAACACCCTTCCCGCCTCGCCTCACCCGCAGAAGTCGTGGCCGAAGACCCACTTCTTCAGCACCTTTTTCTGCAACAAGCTGTACAAGGACGGAGGGTACACCTACGCTCAGGTTGGTGCTCCCCAGTGATGCGGGCCTTCTTGAATGACGGGAGCTTGCTGGGCACGCGCCATGGCTGGGTCCTGACAGTGTGTCCCGCCCCTGAACCTCACGTTCGTGGGCGGGCTACTGAACTTCCTGTCGGCAGGTGCCTGACCAGCGCTTGCTTGGTTAGCATGTACCCTGCTCATGCCCTCACCAATGTCACTCCAAACACGCCAGGTGCGCCGCTGGACGACCCCCAAGCGACTGGCGGCGGCGGGACAGGCCAGCCCCTGCCTGTTGGACTGCGATCGCATCGTGGTGCCGGTTCACCAGGGCATGCACTGGGTGTGCGCCGTGGTGGACTTGAGAAACCAGGAACTGAGGTACCTGGATGCCCTCAAGGTGCGCCGAGCGGGCTGTGCGCCCTGCACATGCCCTCAGGGGCCATGGAGAGCGGGAGGGCGGAGGGAGGAAGGGAGGAGGGTGAAGAGGAGCGCTGCTGGCTTTGCTCGGGGACGCAAGCCTGGCTGCAGCAGCCAATCAGCTGGGATATTATTTCCGCTCAGGAGGCGGTCAGCTGTGCCTCCCACCACCTCGCTTGGCTCTCAGAATTCGGACTTAGAGCTTACCAATAACCCAAGCACAGCTGTACCCTGCCTCGCCCTCCCATTCCTCCTCAGGGCGAGGATGAGGGGTGCCTCGAGGCCCTGGCAAAATGGCTGCGCGATGAGTTCAAGGACAAAAGAAAGGAGGAGGTTAGAGGGTATTCGTGAGTGTGTGCCTATGCTTGGCGCTGGGCGAGCCATGGAAGGGAGAGCATGGTGCAGCGTCCTATATTAGTTTACTCTCCCCATACCTCCTACCGCTGTCCAGCGTGCCGATGTGCTCAAGTGGCCCAGGAAGTTCCCGAAGACCGTCCCGCAGCAGTACAATGGGTACGACTGCGGCATGTTCTTGCTGCAGTTTGCAGATTTCGAGGTGGGTGTGGGTGGTGAAGATCCGCTGCCCGAGGGATGCAGATATGAAAATTGACGAGGAAGGGGGTCTGGCATATCGGAAGGAAGCTGTGTCACCATTTTGAGGCCCAGAATATCGAGCATGGACATGAGTGGATGGTGTCCCTGATATACCGTAGCAGACCTGACAGCCCAATGATAGATCATTGCCCACCCCTCCAATTTAAACAGGGTCGAGGGGAGGCCATGACCTTCACACAGGCAGACATGGAGGCATACCGCATAAAGACTGTGCTGGATCTCATGGACCTGTGCATAGCATGACAAGGTCCGCTTTCAGCTACGAACGCCTCATCCCCAACTTTTGGCGTGACCCATGACATCACAAACCGACCTGACAAGCACTGCACCAGCCCCGGTTGCTGTATTTCGATGGCACACCTGCTTTGTTCTACAATTATGGAGAGGGAGGATCGACGAGCCACCGCACGCACCGCATGTGAAGCGCCACGATGATCGATGCGCTGTGCAACAGCATGCAAATCGGACCATGAGTCTTCCGTTTGTATACCAGATCAGGGCGCATTCAAAGGGTCCTTCCCTCTCGTCCCCCTGGCCTCGGGCCTGCACGGCTGGGGATCACGCAGGGAGAGACGCACTAGTATTGGGTTTGGTCCCGTACTGTGTGCTTGCACAGCCCACATTGTAAAGTTGTTGATCCATTGTCCTCAGTATGGAGGAGTTTCCCTCGTCAAGCGGCAGCGAGGAGGGGTTCGTCCCCGACTACGACTTCGAGTCCAGCTTCGAACGGCTCAAGGACTCGGCCTGCTTCCCCGCTCGGCTGACCATCCTGGGCCTCAAGCGCACCAACAAGCACCTGGTGATGCGTGAGCTGCTGCGCGTGAAGAACGCCCAGACCCTGGACGAGATCAAGGACGCGGTGGTGGCTGCTTACCAAGACCTCATGGCGCTGGAGATCTTTGATGCCGTGGACATCGTGATCGATGGGCTGGATGGCAAGGTGGGCCTGCATGCTCCAGTGGCACTCAGGGCTTTGATAGGTCATCATGCATGAGAGCGATGCGGCATACAGAGTATGAAGGAACCTCTGCCGGGTGGGCTGGCCTTCGGCAGGTCGGCCCATCCCCTCCATGGGTGCTGCAGCTCCTTGTGGATGACCGTTCTCCTCTCCCATTCGCAGCACCCGGAGGCATGTAGCATCACAGCGAGGTTTTCCGAAAAGTCCCCGATCCAAGTACACACAGGCACATACGTGCAAGGCCAAGAAGGTGAAGGGTGATGTGTACGCCCAATGGGAGAGGGGGGTAGAGTGTTCCGAGACCCCGTGCAGGACCTGTGCGCGGCAGGGCAGGAGTGGCGGCTGCACGCCTGCGCAAAACAGGCAGCGACCCAGACTGCTCTGTCTCATCGACCCTCCCTCCTTCTCATGCTCCCCAGGCTCAGTGGAGGCGTCCGCGACGCTGACCAATCCTCTGGGCCATGCGGAGCGCCTGAACCTGAGCGGGGAGTGGGGCTCCAGGAGCACCACCACCTACAGCCTGGCGCTGACTCGCGCACGGCCGCGGGGCCTGCCGTACCTCGCCACCGCCCGACTGTACCAGCAGTTCTCCTCCTTTGAGCGCTGGTCCTCCTTCACGGAATTGCTGAGGGGTGCCGAGACCTCCCTGTCAACGTGGGGCTATGGTGTGGGTGATGTTTGGGGGGTGGGGCGGTCTGTGACTCAAAGCGTGCGCCCTTCTCCATCGAAATTTGTACGCCGTACCCGGCTGCAACACTCTACGACCCCCCCCCAACCACCCACCGTCCCGTGCAGGGAGGACGGGCGCCACCTGGTGGGGGCCGGCATCGGCTGGTACCGGCTGGCCGACCCGGCCCGCCGCGCCTCCCGCTCCGTGCAGCAGCAGTTTGGTGAAGGGGTCCGGTCTGCAATCAAGTACACGTTCCGCCACACCACGTTTTCTGGGGAGGCCTCCTTTCCCCTGGAAGGTGGGCTGCGTCGGTCTGAGTGTGAGGGATGGGGAGTGGGGATCCACCGCGCGGGGCCATGGCTCCCCGTCGGCTCACTCACTGTCAATCGCTTCCCCCCTCCCCCTATCCATTTGTCGCCAGGCTACGGTGTGTCGGCCACCAGCGAGGTCGGAACGCACAGCGGTGGCCCGGCGCGCGGACCGTTCTTCAAGCAGCGCTGCGCCGCCCAGGTCGCTCTGCCCCTGGGGCCCGCCGCTTCCCTGACCCTGGCGGGGGAGGCCGGCCTGCTCCTGCCCCTGCGCCCGGCGCCGGCGGCCACCCCCTCCCCCATCACCGACCGCTTCTTCCTTGGCGGCCTGAGCGGCGCCTCGCTCCGCGGCTTCTCGCAACGCGGCGTG